GATAAGAAGGCCTTCTTAAATGAACAATGCAAAGAAATCGAGGAAAACAGTAGAATGGGGATCACAAGGAATATGATCTAATTCATACCTGAGCGGTCTGAGTGGAATATGCCTAAGTTTATAATATCTAAGTTTTTTCCTTCAAAGAGGTGCTTTTTCTTTCATATTATGTATTTACCTTATAAGTGGTATAAATATTAAGAAACAAAAAGTTCAGATCTCCCTTTATTTTGCTTCCAAGTCATTTATTTTAAATTTAAGCTCTTTTACTTAAACTTCCTTCTTAAAATTAAGGTGCATGTTATACGCCTATGCGTGTTATATGCCGATAAATCATCCTTTTGGAAAAGCAATGGGTAGAGCTTAAGGAAACATTTATTTTTTTCATACACATACAAACATCCCTCATCTATTCAATTTTAAATTTCCCTATTAATAATTGAAATTCATATTTTCTAGGTAATATTCATCCATGACGTTTCTTCCACTTACCGAGTGCCAATCCTTTTGGAAGAACAAGGCATAATTAAATACTTTAAAGAGAGGTTAAGCCTACCAATTGATGACCAACCAAGTCACCTTCTTTTCAAATGGAAAAAAATTGCAGATAGGTACAGTTCTTGGTTTGTTACTTTGATTTCTCCATTTTTGCTCCAAAATATTAACACCAGCAAATCTTTTTGCAGCACTAAGTGAGAAGGATTTATCAGGCCCCAGGATTTCTTTGTGTATTTCCATAAATAATATATAATTATTATTAGTTATTATATTATATTATATAATAATAATTATTATAATTATTAGAGTCCCCCACTGGGGGGAGATGGGTGGGGGGACAAATTTAATAAATAAATAAATAAAATAATCTTGTGAGATGACATCGTAAGGAAGTATTTGCAATATCATTTGATCTTACATATTATATTACAAATCTGATGATGCCAAAATACAAATCTTTTACAGAAGAGGTTTCTGTGGAAAAATGCTGAATAGGAAAGTGTGAGTCAGCAAAAGCACCAATGCTGATTTTTAAGTTTTAGATCAAGGCAGGAGAGAGCCAGAGTGGTGTAGTGATTAAGGTGCTGGACTAGGAGCGGGGAGACTCAGATTTGAATCCTCCCTTAGGCATAAAAGCCAGCTGGGTAGTCTTGGGCCAGTCACTCTCTTTCAGCTGCAGTGAGCATCAGACTCTGTGACAAGGTGGCTGAAAAACATCCCCCCCCCCATGGGGAGGGGTGCATCATGCACTGCTAAGTTTCATTGTAAGAACTAGGTGAGCTTAGTGCACAAGTAGGTGGAGATTGAAACTATGCAGAAAAACGCTAAGAAAAACAAGTGGAAGCTCAGGGCACGTCAACTCTACCATCAGCTGCAGTCCCAAAGCCCTCGTCTTCCCTTCTCTTGAGTCAGAAATGCCGCAGACAAGGAGCTAAAATCAGTGCTCCATCTTAAGCACTTATAAAAGTCCCACACAAAGGGAAAAAAAGAAAATATCCCTCTGCTTGATACGTTGCATGGCTCGACCTGTGCTGAAGAGAATGGAAGGAAATCATTAAACTCATGTTCATTTTGCTTGTTTGTTTTCTCTGAGGTACAAAGATGTCACATTATCATTTTATCTGAGGGACCTCCTTTCCCCAGTAACATCTGCCCATCCCATTAAGTCTGGCAGGAGAGGCACGCTCTGGGTTCCATCTGCTACGGCAGTGTTTCTAAACCATGGCAACTTTAAGATGTGTGGACTTCAACTCTCAGAATTCCCCAGCCTTGCTGGCTGGTGAATTCTGAGAGTTGAAGTCCACACATCTTAAAGTTGTCAAGGTTGAGAAACACTGTGCTAGGGAGTGCCATCTGGCGGGACCTAGGAAGGGAGCCTTTTCTGTTGTGGAATATCATCCCCTGAAGATCAGATTGGCCCCACCCCTGCTGGCTTTTCGTAACTCCTTACAGATGTAGTTTTGCAACCCGGCTTGAGGATTCAGGTGCGCAGGACAGCCTACGCAAGGGCCTATGTTGAATATTGCTGATTCTTTCTATATCTTGGCTGCCAATTATGTCATGTGGTGTTCATATGGTTTTTAGTGTTTTTTGTATGCTTTTAGATTGCACTCTGTTCTTTTGTTTTTAACGGTTGCAAGTGCCCAAAGTCATGTTTTTGAAAGGAGTGACTATATAAATTGAAGTAATAAATAAATAATAAACAATCCCCCCCACACACACACACATACACCCAGAGCTCAGAAGACTAAGGGTGAGGCACGAATTCCGCCAATTAAGAAATAGAGCTCCTGCATCAGGAAAAAAAAAATCCCCAAAACACATATTTTCAGCAGGTTCATTTATACCACCCCTGAAATAAATTGATTCAGTTCTTCAAAACATCCAACGGGTGCATAAACCTTGTGTGGAATTTCTCTTAGTGTAATTTCTCTTTGATATGTTATTCTCAACTGCCCTTTTTTTCTTTTCTCCTGAATCATAATAAATAACTTCGTCAGCTTCTTATCTGGAGAGGTGTAAATTATTCCAGTTGACTCTAATCTTATTTACTAATACATTAGCCATAGAGCTATTTATAAATATGTTTGTGTAGGGCTTTCATTCTCTAAGATGGTATGAGACCTTTTGATTTCTAGCAGAGAACATCCAAATGGTGATACCATCACAGCTAAACATACAGAACAAACAGGAAGGCTTTCGCCTTTTAAAAATATTTCAATCATCTGCTACTTTATCTTTTTAACTTGGAGGGTGAACCTCAATTATAGTACAGCTGCTAGCAATCTGTTTACAACACTTAGGAATGTGGCTTTCCCTGATTTAAAAACACACACACACATACATTATATTATAATAATTGTATCTAATCCAGATTTATAATACTTTGAAAACTACTGAACTATGTGGAAATCTATATATTAATTGATATTTTATATTGTCAGGTATGAGAGGATGTTAAAGAGCTGTTCTGTTGCTCTAGTTGGGAAGTATACAAAACTGAGTGATTGCTACACCTCTGTTTTCAAGGCATTAGAGCATTCAGCTATAGCAATTAATCACAAGCTTGATCTAATGGTGAGAATCAATCAATTTTTCCCTTTCATTGTTTCTTTGTGTTTTGTAAGCATCCTGCAACGTTTCTAATGTTCCGTTCGGTACAATGTGCTATTTAAGATCTTTGGCTGACCTTTTGCACTTTTTCTAAAGTGGTTTGAGCATGTGCTTTCATCCTGAGAGTTGTTACAATAATTTCTGTAATGAAATTTCTGGAAGATAAAGAGAATTTCATGGTTCTGGGAAATATTTTATTTCTTGGTTAATATTAATTGATGTGTTAATCCTACTCACAACTTTATGCATTAAGAGAATGTTTTTACATGTGGCTAAGCAGAGCCATATGGAGTTAAAATGGATTAGCTGGTAGAAGAATATAATGCATGCATATTTTTGACTGCAATTTAAATGTGTAGAATGCACTGGAAATTTGGCTACTAGCACTTGACTTAACATTAGTGTTAATACTGAGCCATTCTACAGTTTGCAAGATATAGATAGCAGATAATAGATATACATCTGCTGTATTTTTCTCTGATCTCCCTACATATGTATACACATCAAGGCACCCTGGCACACAAAGGGCTGTTATTTCAATGATAATTGAATAAAAATATTTTTTAAATGTATATTGATTGTAAGAAAAATATAGGCAGCCTTTCCCAATCTGATATTATCTGGATTCGCAGCAAATGCTGCCATTGGCTAGCATATAGTATTCAGTTCTATTGAAACATGTAATCTGTAATTTGTGGGAATAAAATCAATAAGAAAATGCAGGTCCTAGCTCTCCTGATTGGAAATGAAGATGGAGGTGGTGGTGGTCGTGGTGATGATGATGATATGTGAATTACTGGTACTTTGAAAGTACAGAAGTGCTGGAAGTGTTACTACTTATGAGTGGGTTTCAAAATGATTGTAGGTTTAGAAGATGGTTAATCACTACCACAGAAAATGGTAGTTTTTTAAAGAGATTGCTGCTGTGAAATAAAATGTTTTCATTTTATTTGGTGGAAATAAACATCCTGTTAAAATATTTAAGCATTGTATTGAAGATTCCTACAAGCTAGCATTGTAAATATTTAATGATCTTAAATATATTTCTTAGATCAGACTGAATGTTTTTATATTGAAATAATATGTCTAATGGGAAATTAAAAGGTCTTTTTGTATCTTGCACTGTATTGTTATGTTATGAAAAACTTGGCTACAGTAATAATAACTGTTGAACTATTAAGTTTAAAAAGATGATTCGTTTCAGTTACACAGTCGGCTTTCTTTTTCTTCTGCTTTGCGCTTTGCAAGAAAAATGGCAGAGAACATCTTTATTTTGTTTCTTCTGAAACAAAATATTCTCATTCATCTGAAATAACCTTTCCCTCTTGTTTTATGAATTTCAAAAACAAGCCCCTGAAGGCCATATTTCATCCAATCTGTTCTGTACTGTGTAAGTGTGGAAATTATGTAAATTTTACATAATTCAATAGATCCCTAACACTTAGAGTGCAGTCAAGGAACCAGTGCTGGAGTGGAGCGCTGTGTAGATTTGAAACTTTACTAATTATAAACTGGGAAGGTTTTTACTTTGGGAATAGTTCCGTTGTCTTTTATGTATGTGTATATACATATAATCAAAGTATACCCTGCCTTTTTATTCAGACATATTCTCATGTATTTTCTTAACTAGTATATAGATTCAACAGACCTTGAACCTGCTATGGAGGCTGAGAATCCAGTGAGGTTCCATCAAGCCTGGCAGAAGCTATGTAAAGCACAGTAAGCTGTAGCTGTTTCTTCAACTTGCATTTCCAATTTCATCGTCTTACGTTTCATCATTTTGCTTGGTTGATTCCTGTTTATTTATTGTTTTACAAATAAATGCATTTTCACTGTACTGTATATAAAACCAGCTCAAAACTTGAACATTTGATATACCAGTATATAGAGCAGTGTTTCTCAACCTTAGCAACTTGAAGCTGCATGGACTCCAACTCCCAGAGTTCCCCAGCCAGCATGAGTATGGGAGTAATACACTGGCTGGGGAATTCTGGGAATTGAAGTCTGCACAGCTTCAAGTTACCAAGGTTGAGAAACACAGATATAGATCTTATTTGGACCCAACTCTTACTATGCATTTCTGAAAATCTCAGCCTTGCTTTTGCTGATGTATTCCTATAAGGTGTCTTGATTTATTTGGTTTTTGCCAATGTCCTGAACCATGGATCAAAGGAATTTATAATAAAAGGCAAACATTTAGTTTATATTTACTGGAAACATTATTATGTGATAAAGAAACAGGTTTGTGCACTGCAGACAAAGATTTTTAAAACTTGTCCTTAGTACGAGGTCACACAGTATGTGATATAATGATATGTTTGAAATAATTATGCTGATAAAATGTTAACTACATCCCAAAAGATTAAAAAAAAACCTCAGATAAAATTAAAAAGATCTTTTGTGTTCTATCAATCAGTAAAAGTATAGAACAGATATACCTAAGTCTGCAATCTTATGTTATGCTTGTATTTTGTACCGTATATTATTTCAGTTGCATATTAGTACCTGGAGGCTTCGGTCATAGGGGAACTGAAGGAAAACTTCAAGCCATTTCATGGGCAAGAAAAAAGAAAAAACCTTTTCTTGGTAAGAATTTACACAGGGAATGGAATGATTTTAGTCTTGCATAATTAATGCAATTGTTCAAGGCAGAATTCCCAGGCTTCACTTACAGGTCTCTAGTTTCAAAGCAGAGCTGCCAGCTCTGAAGCATGCGAGCTCTTAGGATGCTTGGCTGGCTGGGGAATTCTCGGAGTTGAAGTCCACTCATCTTAAAGTGGCCACGTTTGGACAACACTGGTGTAGAGTGTGGCAGTGGTCTCTCTCCTAAAGGTTCTGGGGAGGTTTGGAAGTTAAACCAGCTTCTACTTCAGTGGAAATACTGCAGGAGCAGTTTTGCAGCTTGTCCGCTGTTGGTTTAGAACAAATTGGTTTCCAACTTCTCCCTCTCCTGCTAGGTGATAGGGTGGCGTTGTATCTTGCCACCATCTTCCTGACCTGCACAGCCTCATCGAGGAGCGTCTTTGCTATTTCTCCAATGAAGAGATGGTGGGAGGATAATCCTTCCTTCCTTCCTTCCTTCCTTCCTTCCTTCCTTCCTTCCTTCCTTCCTTCCTTCCTTCCTTTTTTTATGACAGGGAGGAAAAGACAGACACAAAGCATTGGCTGGCTTCTTGGTGCCCTCCAATGGGCCTTCTGTTGGCTGGCGGAACCAATAGGGTACAAAGAGCCACTTCTAATCAGTGTCCTACATCCTGGGCAATTACCAGTCATGGAGTAACAAAACTCTTTTCATCCCCTCTACCTAAAAAGGAAATAAAATAATTATTGATAATTGATACTGCCCCCCAGGTTTTTCAACTTATGGATTTGTCTGGCAGTTTGCAAAAAGTATGGGAGTTTGCCATGATACGTGATTCTTCAAGGAAAGTTTGTCTAGCTCTTGTCCTCAACTCCTAGTTACTTTCTAATAATAAAAAGTATGCAAGGGCCAGTCACATGATCAATCTTGTGCCTAAGAGGAAGAGAGATGAGGACCAGATATTAGGAGCAACTAGACAAATGGGGCAGAAGAAAGGATGATGTTTAGAATAGGAAGTGATAAGTAAGGGATATGAGAAGGGTATTAAAGATACTAGATGCATAAGAACAAGAAATTTAAGATGGAAGGATGGATAGAATCTATTGGATTGATCTGGATTTGAACTAAAGGCACTCCCTCTGTCCTATGGATGTGTAGGAGCACATTTTATTTTAAATTTATGTTCCATGTTTTCATTCTTGGAGTCACAAAGCTACTACATGTGTTCTGTTTTTTGGCTAGAAAAATACATATAAATGGATATATACAATTGTGTAAATAATCACTTTTCTATTACTTACAGGAGTTTGTTTGGGAATGCAGTTGGCAGTAGTGGAATTTGCAAGGAACTGTCTGAACTGGCAAGGTGTGCACTTATCAGTGTTATTTTGTAGCTAAGTATCTGGGAGTCTGCCCCACTCAGCTTAGTAGAAATCTAAGTAAGCGTAAGTTCTGTTAAGTGAAGAAATGTTGACTTGCAGAAGGAGTTTGTTCTTAGCTGTATTCACCAATTAATCAGACTGAGGGAATAAAGCAAGATAATTTTATTCAGTAGGATTGTTGTATAAGAGGTTCGCTCCCTAGGCAAAGCATGACAGGAAGGAACCCAGAAAAATAATATTGTTTTTATAGGGTTACAGAGTTCTCATTATTTTTCAATAGATATTATTTATATTTGTTCATTTATTTGATTCAGTTTTGGTGTTGCATGACTGCCAACCAACACCATAAGTAAAGTTTCTATAAGCCAATCACAGACTATAAGTAATAAATTTTACTTAGATTTCAGCCTCCTTCGGTCCTCCTTTATCTTATCTCTAAATTTTTAAGGATCTTCTCCAGGCAAAGAGGGGATGTTGGTGCTTTAACCTGACTAAAGAAAACTGCATACCCTAGTGATAGGATTGGATTGCTAAAGCTTAAAACGAAACTCTGGCAACTGAAAAAGAAAATCTTTGATCATTCAAATAACAGGGTTATCCAACAGCCTTTCTGAACTCTTGATTATCCATGGGTATCTGCAGCTAACTGTGATGATGTCAGATGACTAAAAGCGTGTCATGATGCAAAATCTGCCTTTCATATTTGCATCACAATGTCATGTGCAACAATGGAAAAGGTGGAGCGCATAATGCACATTTTCTCACTTTAATTATCTGCTTTTCTTTCTACCTTTGTTGAGGTCACAATGGTTTAGGGGTGCAGAATTCAGGTGTATGACATAGGCTTGAAGTTCTTTATTGTTTATAGTGACTTTCAAGCACATCCTCAGAGCAAGGAGGCAATTGGGAAGTATTGTATTTATAGATGCGTATCTATTTGTGTTTGCTATCATTTATGAGTCTCTATCCACAATGTCAGTTAGGACATCATCCATAAATGTGTGTAGTCAGAATGTGCTCATTTCAGTGGTTTACTTTAGATTGTTAATCTAATATATTGTGTTGCATAATGTTTGAGGTAAGCTATGAAGTAATTGGTTAGCAAATTCAAGGCTAATATATTAAGTGTAATACTGAAAAATCAATGAGAAGAATATTTTAATCCTCAGAACTGACAATTAGATTTTACATCAGTATTTTAATTAAAATTTTGTTCTACAGATGCAAATTCAACAGAATTTGACCCCAATACAAAGAATCCTGTTGTAAGTATTGATTCCTCCTTGTGTTTAAATAGGTATTGGACTCTGTCCAGATTTGCTTATTCTTGATTAGACCTGTTGACTTTTGTGGACTAATCTTGCCTTAAATTTGATGAGAGGTCCAAATGACCTGATTTTCCACTTGTAACCATACTATTTTCTTTCTAGTTCTTGTTTTATTTTTCTTACTAGAAACTAAATAAGATTAATGTTTGGACAAAGCTGTTTAAAATATGTTGAACAATAGTAAATAAATACAGTACACCACCCAAAATTTTATTTTTACATCTACATAATTTAAAGCAGAACTTATGCCAGACCAGTTGCTTAAGAAGTGACAAACAACTATGAATGGATGCTTTTCTCAACTTTCAAGGTCACACATAACTGTAGAATAAGCATGCTCTACTTTTGTAAGCAAAGAAAATAATGAATAGTTTGGATGCGGTATACACCAAATTGAAGATAAAGAGTTTTGCTACTAAATATAGTACTTTTGGAAGCTTACCATTAACATTTATGTTTTATATTTTAAAAAATAACAGTTTAATAGATTGGATAGAGAAAAGTATTTTACTCAAGAAGTTATTAGACAGTAATCTAATATATTGTGCTGCATAATGTTTGAGGTAAGCTATGAAGTAATTGGTTAGCAAATTCAAGGCTAATAAAGAAAGAACAACATTACCCAGTGTATAACTAACCCATAGTATTAATCAGTACAAACAGGGTTGTGTCTGTTAGGTTGGAATGTAAAATAATCAATGGCTAGTCATTATAATATCTCTTGTGGTGAGAAAGTACTGACTATAAGTTGTGTAATTCCCAATTAATTGTATGACTTGGACATGTATAAACAGTCCCTAAAAGTTTGTTGGACTAGCTGTCAAGCCACAACCTTCATGATGTAGCTTGGTTGAGATGAGGTCTGGAGACATCTGCCTGACTCATATTTATTATGAAAATATTTTAGATTCACTCTTAAATCCATTAGGATTGACGTTTTACCAATCACCAGACATGTATGGTTTTAAGTCAATATCAGTCTTTATTCAGTATTTCAGTTTACTTTTACAGATTCTTTGCACAAATGTAAACATTTTATATGTTCATTATAGGTCAGTTCTGAGATCTTAAGTTTACTCTGCCTCAATCATCCTCTTCACAGGATTCTTTAAGAGACCAAACCAGATAGTCCAGTTATGTCTGATAGTCCACCTATACTAAGTAACTTGCTCAGCAGTCCCTTAAAATCATCAAAGCTGACTTGTCCATTGTTATCGGTATCAGCATATTTGGCAATATCATTGAGAGTCAGTGAACCCTGTATGTTTGGAGATAGAAAGTGACAATAAAGTCATTATTTTGTATGGTCAATTTCAGAGCAGAAGAAATGACAGAGTACATAGAATTTATGATTAACTTTCAGCTGAGTTTTGAAAGTTTATACACAAGATCAGTTTGAATAATTGGAATGAACAGTTTTATGACTGTATGCTGGATATATGTGTAAAAATGTGTTTGGCTTTTTTTTTTTTAATATGGGTATTTTTTATAAAACCCACTCTAACTGTACATATGCCATAGGCCTATGTTTACTTTTTCAGCTTTTCCGGGTCCAACAGGGTGGCTGCTAGGGCACCTACTATTGAACATTTGGGGAGTCTCTGAGGAAATATTCAGTGACTTAAATTCCTAGAGCACATTTGTGTTGTTCCAAGTATTAGGATTAAAAAACAAAATATATGTATTATTAGTTATAAAGATGCTGCTAATAATATCTTTTGGTGATAACAAGGCCACCCATGCCAATGTACAAATATAAGATTAAAAATAATTCAATAATAGATTGTTTATTGTAACCAAAAAATACCAAAAGGAGCAGGGTTAAAATTTTGAATTTGAAAATTATCAAAGCTGGGTGAATTTATTTATTTGTTTGTTTATTTATTTAATTCAATTTCTATAGCCACCCATCTCAGACAAGTGACTCTGGGTGACGAATTTAAAATATTTTTGTTTCTTCTCATAAAAATTATCTGGGATAGAAGTATAATTTTTGGAAAGGTATTATACAAATAGTTTTTGCCATGTATTGTCGAAGGCTTTCACGGCCGGCATACGATGGCTGGTGTGGGTCTTCCGGGCTGTGTGGCCGTGTTCTGGAAGTTTTGTTTCCTAA